AAAAACTAATAACATTTGAAATCTGCTTTTTTACCAAATGCTCATTTTCAAACAAAATCATTTATTAGGGAAAAAAAGGAAGGACAGAAACCCCTTTCCCACAAAATAGGGGGTGAGGAAAGTGGGAGGGGGCAACAGACAAGATCTGAAATCTAAATTTGTAGAGAATTTGACTCACAAAATGATTCATAAGCATTTCCTGGATATTTTGTCCAAAAGATCTCTGACTAAAGTGGAAATTTGTTTGTTTAAAATACCTCATTCTACTATTATGATTAATATCTTAGTGACAAATATTTGTTCATGGGGCATATGGACAAAGATAACCTCATAGGCATTGATTTAAATATTAAAAAATGTAAGTAACTTAGAAGACAGTCACTATGACATTATAGACAGCAACAACAAAAATCTTTACACTAAGAAGAAACAAAACAATCTGTTAGTTTTAACCAAAGTTAAATGAGATGTAACTAAACAGCTGCATTTTGACTTCCGCCTGTTTTGCTAGTGTTAAGAAGGAATTGCAAAGTTCTTTCTAATTCTAATTTCTAGAATTCCAGAGGGCTGGGGATTTAATTTAGCTCAGTGGTTCTGGCAAGCGCCGAGGACCCAAGTTCGATCCCTGGTACCAAAAAAAAAGAGGAGAGTGTAGAAATCCAGCTGTTGAAGCACAGGAACTAAACACCAAGGCCACTGATAGTTTTAACTGATTAGTCATGTGGCAGTACTGGAAAACTGAAGACAAAAGCAAGTTAGCTGAGAAAATAAATGGAGATATTCACTTTAAATCAAGATATTATTAACAAGTACAGTTGGCCCTCCCATGTCCATGGGTTGTACTTCCACAAATTCAACAAAACTCATATTGAATATATTTGAAAAAAATTTCATTTATACTGAACATGTACAGACTTTTCCCCCTTGTCATCATTCCCTTAAACAATATAAACTATTTATATATCAATTGCATTTATTATAAGTAACAGAAAAAAAGTAAGTAAGTTAGAGATGATTTAAAGTACATGTGGGGATGTGTGAAGGCTTTCTACAAATGTAAAACCATTGTACCTAAGGGACTTGACTATCCGAAGATTCTGGTATGGGGAGAGATCCTTAAACCAAAACCCCAACATATCAAGCAAGAGATGACTACATAAAGCTAACGTGCCTTTTTTTTCTTGGCACGGGAATAACTAGAACTTTTATTAGATATGATTTTCAATGACATGCCATTTTTAGAGTCCCATGGAAATCCTATAGTTTCTATCAAAACTCAAACAATTAACAAGGGCAAGTCCTTGGGTTCAATTCCCAACATCAGAAATAAGCAAACCAGGGCCGGGGATTTAGCTCAGTGGTTTTGCCGCCTATTGCGCAAGTGCAAGGACCCAAGTTCGATCCCCGGTACCAAAAAAAAAAAAAACAACAATAAACAAACAAACAAACTCAAAATAAAAACCAGGCATTGGTGCATACCTGTTAAACTAGTACTCTGGGAGGCTGAGGCAGGAATACAGCAAGTTTGAACCCAGCCTGGACAACTTAGCAACACCTTGTGTCTCAAAAAATAGAAGGGGTGGGGGATGCAGCTTAATATGAAGGCCCTGCGTTAAATCCCTGTACCACAAAAATCTAAAACAGTTACATGATAAAAAATGTTTTACATGGAAACATCTAAGTCACTAAAAAAAATTACTCATATAATATAATAAAGCAAGGCAAACTAAAGAGAAATGTAATTAGGGATGTCAACAGGATCATAAGTTAAAGCCAGAATGTATCATGCTAAGTTACTACATGTTATTTTCTCCCAAACTTAATAAATCAAGCATCTGTATGTTAAACTCTATGCTATGGAACTGCATTTGAACATAGGTAAAATAAAAAGATCAGCCTATAGACCTTATGAGATAAGAGTAGGGCACTGAATCTATATCCAGGTCTACACAATCCTCTCTATATCCTGTTGCTTCCTGCCCTCTACTATCTACTATCATACCCTTCTCTGTGTCTGTCTCTCTCTCTCTCTGACTTTCTCTGTGTGTCTGTGTGCGTCTCTCTCTCTTTCAGTACTGGGGATTGAAGCCAGGGTCTTTAAAATTGAGCCGTATCCCCAGCCCTTTTTAAATTTTGAGACAATCTCACTAAGTCAGCCAGGCAGGGCTCAAACTTGCTATCCTGCCCCAGCCTCCTAGACTGCTGGGGTTACAGGTGTGTGCCACTACACCCAGCTCATACTCATCTCATTTTACCTTTATAAGCTTTTCATTCGCTCTACTGAGTATTATATGTTAATCACTGAGTGAAGATCAGGGCTATGAAGACAATGAAAAAGAACATTCCTTTTTATGAAGGGGTTATACAAAGAACCAAAACTGACTAAAAACATCATAAAAGAAATATACACCAAGTACTAAAAGACAGAATAACCTAACACCTGAGTCCAGAGCTCAAAAAGTTTGTCTTAAAAATAATGGAATTTTGTAGAAACTGGCTAGAGCAAAACTAAGAAAGATATTCTCTACTAGGTTTTAGATGGTATTCTA